TTGCCACTGGAAAGCTGAGTCATTTGTCTAACTTGACCACTGCAAACTCAGGGGTTGAAGTTCACTCGTCGATGAACAGACAGAAAACGACAAGCGAACACAATGTCCAAGAACAACATGCTATGCCGGCGCTGTTTTCGAACGCAACGATAAGTGGAGGGAGTATAAATATATCAATAAACACTCTCAAGCAGTCTCCAACACTATCTATAACAAATGTGGATAGCCCACCAAAAACATACAAATGTTTAAAACTTCTGAGCGATTCTGAGTCAGATTGAACTACAATTTTTTGAAACCGTTTATACAGTTTTTATAGCCACCGGTAGGTGGCGACAACTTGTCTAGTTATGTATTTTTATGTGTCGAGTTGTCAAATGGCTTCCTTTTGGCTATATTAGATCTTCATAGCTGTATATGTTGATCTCGATGTTGATTGTTAATTTGTTAGGATGATTGTTTTCACTTTTTCATATGTTAAACTAATAAATGTTGTAAACACATTTGATTTGTCCTTGGACCATTCAAGTCGATTGACTTTATTATCAATTGGCCACCGTTATAAAGTCCTTTTTGTCGATTTATCACAGTTCATTATATATATAATAAGCAAATTACGTCATGGTTGACTCGTTTGTACGATTTTTATTCACTTGTTGTGAAAGATTACAACGCAACTTGTGAATAAAAATCGTACGCACTCGTCAACCATCACGTAATCTCTATATTCTTGCATGTTTTATATAGTGCAAAGGCCTATAAAATCAGTATTAAATTGTCCAGTTTGTAGTCCGTAATGTGTTGTGTTTTAGTGTTAGATGGATGGACTTAGTATGGGATTCTAGTTGTCCAATCCTTCGATCATAGCTGTATGTGTATTTTTTATATAATTATGATTGTTAAGTTAATAAACCAAAACGTCATTTTTGTGGTATATGTCTTAAGTAGTAAAATGATGCTTAAAAATATTGGGGATTACCGTGCTTCTTTTCCAACTACACAAAAATGTACGGTATTTTAGAGTGAATTATACACAACAAACTATATGTAACCAAAACCTATGTAACTATGTGTAATTTAAAACATACCGAGATCTGCTACATAAAACCTAAAAAGTCAAATGTTAGAAATGTCAAATTGTTGTACACCTAGTCTTTTTTAAAAGCTGTATCGAGCCACCTTTTTAACATTATTTTGACTGTGGGACATGGCCAATATTGATGAATTGCAGTTATTGCCTTTGGTCCTGAAGTCCCAAAGATGTAACCAACTTTGTGCACTAAATCAATAGTTGCTTAGCTTTTAAAATAAATTGAGAACGTTTTAATAGTTACAATTAACATCTCCCAACAAAACTTGACCACTACCCTTGCCTTTACTTCATTTGTTCTTTGTCTTTCTACAAATCCAACAAAGCTAAAGCCAATAATATGTTATACTTTGTTACAAATGATAATATGGTGTCATAGTATTTTAAAACCTCTGAAACATGGGTGTTATTGATAGTTATCTCTTGATTCCAAGAACCTTTTGCTGCTTGCAAGTTTATCAACTTTTTGAATGTTGTGATGTTCTCTTTTCCTCCTTTTTTGCTTTCCTCAAACTTTCGGGCCACCACAACATTTGGTTCCACCACTCCCCATGACAATTGCATAATTATGTGCATGGTAATTTCGCTGTTGTGCACTTGCACCTCTTTGATATAGACGGTCCATCTTGAATTTATGCCACAATGGCAGCCTTGTGAAGTAGAATGATAGATCCTGCTGGCATCTAAAACATTTTAGAATTATAATAAATTGTAATTTTTCTTCAATATATCACTTTTCCTCACATGTTCAATTTTGGGAAAGTGCATTTATTATGCTGAGGGGGGGGGTGAAGATGTAAGGGGCAAATCATTTATTTTCTGGCATTAAAGGGGGGGGGCTCTGAAAGTTCTCAATATACTAAAGGGGGGGGCTATAAACTTTTCAAAGTTTTGGTCCAGCAGGGGCCTGGAGTATTCACTCCCACGGTAGTTAATAGAATAGATGGTTTGGAAACTCATTAGAATAATAATATAATTCATTATCTATGTTAGTGAACAAGAACATTCATAAATCTGGTCTTTTACCATCACGTCCGTATTGTATTTTTGCCTGACTAACCAATAGCAATGTTTTAGGAAAGTTACTTATCCATGACTCAGACAATAGGGTAAATTGAAAATTGCTATTGGTGGACATGGCAAAAATATAATACACACAAATTGTATATGTAAATTATGTCACATAAGCTATTGGTGATTTTATAAATCCATTTATATGGAAGAGCAGACTAAGGGTACTTTAAAACTGGAATCTATTTCTAAATACAACCATTTTATGATAGGGATACAAATGTCGAAAAAATCTGCCATATTGTTACTAAAAATACAACAAAATGGCGGATTTTTACAAATTTATATCTTCGCAAGGAATGATTGTCAGGAAAATCCTCCGACATGCCAGCCCCCCCAATTTCGAGACTGATTCCCAGTTTAAGATATCCTTAGTCTGCTCTTCTAAATGGCTACATGAAATCACCTGTAGCTTATTTTTAATTTTTTGGTGCCAGGTTTGTGATGTAATTTATCCGCCAAAAAGTAGCAGTTCCAAAAATTAAAGAAAAACATATTTGTAAGAATGATATGTTCATGGGGTATTTAGTACAAACAGGACGAAGTGATTAAAGAAATTGAAGCATACTGGTGCTTTTGTATGCATTTTTGACAGGCATACATGCAAACATGGCATACTTTGACAGACATACATGGGTGGGGGAGATGTTCTACATGGGTGATGGCTTTTGACAGGCATACATGGGTGGGGGAGATGTTCTCTCGGGTTCTAGTACATTACCAGTTCAAGACTCCTCCGACTATGCTGAATGATGGACAACAACAACCTGTTGATAATTTTGCTTCTAGAGCCAATCTGAAATGGTTTTTTAAAGATGGTGCCATTTCATCTGGCAATAGTGAGGTGAGAGAAGCAGCAAGTCGGTATTTTTGTTGAGAAGCATGTGCTTGAGTACATCAGACATCTTGAGGAAATGCAATTTGTATCTGCGATAAGAGAGAATTCCAGATTGTACTTCTTTGATTCTGTATTCTGGAGGGGGGGCATTGAAAATTTTAAAAACTTGGAGGGGGGCATCGAAAATTTACCAATATCATCAACAGGGGCCCTGTAAAAATATGAACTTTTTTCAAGACATCTTCATCCCCCCCCTTGGCATAACAAATGTACTTTCCCTTAGCGTATGTTAAATTAACAAATCAAATGTGTGTAAGCAACCTGGCATACCCATGTAGGCTATTTGCCTGCTCCTCTCCTAAAAGAATGCACAAGCTGTAACATGCATTCTTCAAATGGCTTTAATTGTGCTTGTAGGTGACTTTTTATCATAAAAATGTTGTCCCATACTTTGAAAAAACTGACGCCGCCATGATGAAAAGGCTTAGCCTAGGCTAGGTCAAATGGTTGCACCATTATATGTTATTGCATCAAGTAGGACGAAAACTGGACGAAACAGTTTGTGGTTAGCCTGTGCATGTGGCGGAATTTTGTAATAAGGTTACTCCACATGATGGAAACCCATTTCACCAAAATGCTCATCGCACACTCAATTGTCAAGTTTTCCCCATCAAAATTTGCATCCATAATATAATTAAATCATTGCTGTAGTTAATGATCTACATCTTTACAAACTGTACTTGCTACGGGTTGCTTTTGAAAATGTGACATGATGGCCGTTGCACACAAGATTAGAACACTTCTGATTTACCTCAAAGGCTTCCGAACATAATATTTCCAGGGGCGGGGATTCAGACAGGTTTGACAGGTTTATATAAACCTGTCAGATTTTCCAAAGAAAGAAAATCTATAACTTATATAACTAATATAACTAAAAATCTATAACATTTATAACTAATTTAAAGAATATTCTGTTTCATAAACTTGATGTTGTCCAATCTATTACGCCATTTAAATACTCTTATTGAAATTTGATTCTGGATTACCGAGCGTATTTAGACCCACTTGCATAATACGCATTTAATTAATTAAGGACTTATCGCATTGGTTTCCTCTTACGAAATATTGTAATACTAGACAAATAATCTGCTAATGCATCGCCGTGGGTCGTGGACTGAAACATTGCATGAATCACACATAACCGCCCGCAATTATGAGTAAACCGGTGGTCAGAGTTTTCTGAATGAAAGTAAACCGGTCGATACACCATTCGCTTGGCTAAACGGCTGCGCTCTGCCGGATGTAAACCAGTCATAAACCTGTGAGTCGAGCAGTATTTAGAGAAAACTGGGAATGAAAGTTAACAGAACTCGAGGACGCGCAAAATGTATTTATAATTTTGCGTGATTGAAAATTACGTTGGCGAAAGAAGCATTTACATGGATTTCTTGTTCATTTTGAAGGTTTGTTTAAAAGTATATAGTCTAAAGTTATAACTGTAAGCTACTTCTACTTACTGTATAATAAATATCGATCCGTCAACAAGCGTATCGATGTTTATATACGTGTAACTTGTACACAGTCTACATTCATGATAGCGCGAAATATGTGTATAATTCTTAAAAAATTGTGTGACCGAATCATTGCGTTTGCGATAGAGAATCAGGAAATAATTGTAAAGCTTTCACGCTCTTGCAGTTTGGTTTCTATTTCATTGTTAAAGCGGTTGGTTTGAAAGCGTATAGATCTAAAATTACAACTATGTTTATATTAAAAGCATCTCTACTTGTTGTACTTAAAATAAATATCTAGGGTGAACAATACCTTAATATTTGCTATTATGTTTATAGTTGTTGTTGGTTCACTTATAATATTATTACATGAAGTATAGGGGATTCAGATGCGTAATGGCGGACACCACATGCTTTAGTTTTTAGCTGTTCGTTTGTTTATCGAATAAAGCTTTGTTTGAATGAATCTTGTCGATTATTGATCTTAAATATGGCGCTGCGACTTCGAGACGAACCTGCATGGAAGACTTTTCTCATGGCAGCTAGTATTCCGGATGAAATCGCGGCTAAATACGCTACAATACTAGTCGAAAATCAATTAACCGAAGCAACAATATCTCAGCTAACTGTAGAACACTTAACGGCAATAAACATTACCGTTCTTGGCGACGTTTTAGCAATTCTTGGTCATATCCAGACTGCCTCTCCTCTCCAGCTCTGCAAGCACCGCACGTCGAAAGTACTACGTCTGCAGCCGCACAGTTCAAGCCTCCACCTGCCGCCATCAAGCTTCCTTCAGTGAGTTCTAACATGACACATCCTCAGTTTCGAAAGTTCCTCATTGATTGGACCGTATACAAGAAAATCACTCGCCTACCTACCTCAGAGTTTGCCTCGCATTTATACAGCACTTGTGATGAATCCGTTCAGAATACACTCATTAACTCCTTCCCAGAGTTTTTACAGTTGCCTGAGGACCAAATGCTTAAGACCATCGAAAGTGTTGTGACGAAACGTGCTAACCCCGTCGTGCATCGAATGAACTTTGGTAATTTAACACAGCATGAGTCTGAGTCAATCCAAGATTTCTTAGTTCGCATACGAACTCTCGCTATTGACTGTGAGTTCTCTTGCCCTACATGCTCTGTAAACATTTC